TTTTTCAGTCTTTTTAATATATGCACTCATGGCTATAAATTTTCCAATAAATATTTGAATGAAAAGAGTACTCTACAAAACTTCAACAAGTATCATTCTACTTAATGTTGACAAAGTGGGCAGGGAATAAGGATCTGTGTGTTCATAGAAAAAAAGGTTGGGGCATAGAGAAGGGGAGTTAAGAGAGTAATAGAAGGGGTAAATTTGATCAAAGTACATTATATGCATGTATGGGAATATCTCATTGAAACCCTTTTGTACAATTAGTTTACATTAACAAAAAAGAAGAAAAAGGATTAAAAGGAAATCTACCAAAATATCAACAGTAGTGGTCATGGAGGGGAAATGGTTCCTTCAGGGTTTTTTAGACTTACTTGTATTTTAAGTAATTGAATATTAAAAGAAAAGGATCTGAGCCAGGCACCTGTGGTTCATGTCTATAATCCTAGCTGCTCAGAAGGCAGCCATCAGGAGATCAAGAGGATTGCAGTTCATGGCCAGCCCACAAATAGTTCACAAGGTCCCATCTCCAAAATAACCAGAGCAAAATGGACTGGAGGTGTGGTTCAAGTGGTAGAGTGCCTGCTTTGCCAGCATGAAGCCCTGAGTTCAAAACCCAGTCCTGAGGGTGAATAAAGGAGAATTACGGAACTAGGCAAGCTGAGTGCTGTTGGCTCACCTATAATCCTAGCTACTCAGGAGGCAGAGATCAGTGGGATTGTGGTTTGAAGTCAGCCCCAGCAAATAGTTTGCGAGACCTTGTCTCAAAAAACCCTATCACAACTTTGATCACAAGATAAAAGCGAGAGCATACAAGGGAGATATGAGGATAGGTAAGACACCTAAAAAACTAGATAGCATTTGTTACCCTCAACGCAGAGAAACTAAAGCAGATACTTTAAAGCAACTGAGGCCAATAGGAGAAGGAGATCAGGAACTAGAGAAAAGGTTAGTTCAAGAAGAATTAACTTAGAAGGTAACACACATGCACAGGAAATCAATGTGAGTCAACTCCCTGTATAGCTATCCTTATCTCAACTAGCAAAAACACTTGGTCCTTCCTATTATTGCTTATACTCTGTCTACAACAAAGTTAGAGATAAGGGCAAAATAGTTTCTGCCAGGTATCAAGGGGGCGGGGGGAGAGGGAGGGGGCGGGGTGGAGGGTAAGAGATGGGGTGGGGGGAGGGGGGAGAAATGACCCAAACATTGTATGCACATATGAATTTAAAAAAAAAAAAGGGAAAAAAAAAAACCTGTCACAAAAAAGGGCTGGTGGAGTGGCTTAAGGTGCTGGCCCTGAGTTCGAATCCCAGTACTGGAAAAAAAATGAGAATTATGGATGAGGTGAATTCAGCTATGATATATTGTAAAAACTTTGGTCAATGTCACAATGTACCCCAAGAAAAATGACAAAAACCCCATCCTATCCCCTCCTGCAAAAAAAAAAAAAAGGATCTGAAATTTTAAGTTTTGTTTTCTATTTTTAACAAATTTCTACTCCAAGGTAGACAGTTATGTCTGCTTGACTAGTTTGGCTATGCATTCACAAATATTTAAATTTTTGGTTAGGTAAACATTAATGTTCCCAATCACTGGTTCACATTGCCAGATTTTCAGTGTAGTAGTAAGTGAGAGGTCAGTGGGCACTGGGTGATCCCAACCTATCACCAGCAAGGGCAGTTGCACAGCAGACAAAAATAGAATTAGAAAACCAAACCATTTGTAAAGGAGCGGCCACATGCTTACGTTTGTGAAGACTGCCCTGTGTGCACCAGTATTATCACTCATTTTCAACCAGTTTATCAGTTTCACCAAATTAGTTTTTTTCTATTTTACTTATTTACTATTATTATTGTTTTGATAGTACTGGAACTTGAATTCAGGGCCTCATGCTTGCTAGGCAGGCACTCCACCGCTTGAGTTATTCTGCCAGACCACCAAATCAGTTTTGACCTAATGGTCTGCTGCTGCCTTTACATCCCTTTTCTGGATACTTTCTTGATGTCAGAGCAGCTGAGTGGAGGAATCAGTCCTCCAACCCTGTCTCACAGATGGGGAAACAGGCCTGAGGCAGGGACTGAGCCAAGGTTGTACAGAGAATTGGATGTCAGTGAGGACTCAATCCCAGCTCAGTATGCAAGGCCTCAGAGGGGTCTTCACTACAGCATAGAAAGAGAAAATGCCAGATTTAGCAAATAAAAACATAGACACGTGGGGCTGGAGGCAAGGCTCAAGTGGTAGAGCATCTGCCTATCAAGTGCAAGGCTCTGATTTCAAACCCCAGTACCACCAACTAAATAAAATTACACACATACACACTCACTCTCTCACACACACACACACACACACACACACAGAGAGAGAGAGAGAGAGAGAGAGAGCGAGAGGGAGAGAGATGCCCAGTTAAATATGAATTTCAGGGACTGGGGGTATGTCTCATGGTAGAGTGTGTGAGAGGCCATGGTTTTGCTCCCCAGCACACACATACATACAAAAAAATTTAGAGAAACATGAATAATTTTTAGTGTAAGTATATCCTAAGTATTGCAAATACTGTTTCTCTGAAACTCAAATTTAACTGAGCATTTTTTATTTTATCTGGTAATGCTACTCAGAGCCCATCCTGTGAAGACAGGACCCTGGCTGTCCCCTCTTTGACCCCCCACTATCCTCATTGGCCTTGTCCAGACTAACATGCAGAGTTACTAACTCTGACGACACTCCCACCCTCCTGGCCCCTGTAGCTGCCTCTCCTCTCTCCACCGTTGAACTTTCTGCCTCCTTAGCCTCTGCATTTTAAGCACGATGGCCACCCTCCCTGCTCACCAGCTCATTAAGGCAGCTCTCTGCATTCACCTGTCTCGCTGGCCTCTTACCAGCTCTCAACTCTGGGGCCACAGCTACCTTCTGGCTCCTGTCAGCCTCTGGACAGCCCAGTGTCTGAGTTTCCATGTCTGTCTCACCCACTGTTCCTCAGTCTTTCTCCTGTTTCACCAGTCCTGTCTCTGTCTGTTAACCAGCTCCCAGTGCTGGACCTGATCAATCCAATGGACTCCTGAGGTCAAAGCCCAGGAATGACAGCTCTTGTTCCTTGTTCCTTCTCTAGCTTGGTCCTCCCTCCTCTAGAACCCAGACCCAACCATGTCCCTACCTGCTGACACATGGGACCTCAGGGACCCCGGCTGGGAAACTTCACTCTACTTCTTGCTAAGAACACTTTGGAGACTTGTTGGCCCTTAGCATAAAGTCCAAACCAGACAAAGCCCTTCATGGAATCCCAGTTCTCTGCAAGCCACTCTGTTCCCCAAAATAGGTTAGGGTTTCACAACCCCATTGGGCTTCAAGTGGTTTCAAATGTCATGGTTCTTTTTGCCCAGGCCGGCCTCAAACCACGATCCTCCTACCTCTGTCTCTTGAGTAGCTGGGATTACAGGTGTGAGTCACATGCCTGCTCCTTCCAGCTCTCTCTCTCTCTCTTTTTTTTTTAATTTTCTGTATTACCTTGCTAGTCAAGTGCTCTACCACTCAAGTCACACCTCTAGCTCTTTTTCAAAAAAATTATATATATATATATATATATATTATTTTCCTAGTTCACTATTTTTTCAGTATTGGGTTTGGAACTCAGGGCTTCATGCTTGCTAGGCAGGTGTTCGACAGCTTGAGCCACTCCGCCAGCCCTCCCAGCTCACTTTTAACCTTATCCCTGACCTTGACAGCACACATAGACAGAAATAAAACCAGGTCTCCTCCTCTTCCATGTGCTGTTTCTCCCTTCCTGAGGGAGAAAAACAGCATCCTGAGCTCACTTGGTATCTGCGCAGGAAGTGAGGGGCACAGCCCCAGGCCTCTGAGGCTGCAGTGAAAGTTCCTTATCAGGAAGCCCTGGCACTGCACCCTACCCTGGCTTCTCCCTGCAGTGAGTGGCTGGGTAGATTGGGTTGAGTGTGTCTGGAATGTGGACTGGGGCTGTGCAGGTTCCAGACCAGGCCTGGTCTTTGGCACCCTCTAGAGGACAGTTTTATTCCCATCTGGGAGCTTTCAGCAACCAAATCCTATACTCTCTTCCATCAAGGGGCTGCTGGCCTCAGGAGCTCCCTCGACTTACTGCCCACTACTTCAGTGACAAGTGACAAGTGTTCTTATGGTCTCTGCAGATGTCCTTACCATCCCTACAGGTGTCCTTACGGTCTGCAGGCCTGCAACAACTCTTTCATGCCTCAGCCCTGCATAACCTGCCCAAATCCTCAACTACTGGCCAGGCCCTTACTACAAAGACCTCTTGGACTGCACCCGGTCCTCAGGCTCCCTGCTGATCCTACCTTAGCAGTCACTGAGCTCTCAAATCCCTGAGCCTGAGCCCCACACTGGGTCAGCTTTGGCTCCTTGCAAAGCCCTTGATTGCCTTCCTCAGAGGAGGTGTTTTCCTGAGGAAGGTGTCTCCTTCCGGCTTCAGATAGAGGCCCCAGATGGCCAGGCCTGGGTTTCCCTATCCCCTTTCAGACTGAGGGTTCTTCATATTGAGGGCTCCCTGAGGACTGACCCAGGATCTCCTTCCCCATCCCTCCACCTGCCTCTTGACCTCCAGAAATTTCTACCTCTATTTCCCATTCTGCTTACCTCTCCATGTAGGTAGAGGTCAGAAGCCTCTGTCACCTTTCCCAGGCTACCTCAGGCTCTGGCCCCAAAGACAGGCCAAACACTTGGCTTGTAAGACCAGTCTTTGGGACTATGAGGTCCAGAGCGCCCATCTGGAGTTCCACCTCTGACCTCACAAGGGCTGCCTCAGAATTCAGCCTCTAAGGCACTACTGGCCAGAAGAGAGATGCTATTTTGGGCCGTGTGTCTGGACTTGGCTCAAGTGGCACGGGCCAATCCCCTGTCCTACTGACCTCTCCCCTGGAGGAGCTGAAGCAGCACTCAGGCCCGCCCTAGGGAGGGCTGAGAGGCAGGCTCTAGACTAAGGACACAGAGATAGCAGAGCCCCAGCTGGAGGTGCAGTCAGTGCCTGGGACAGTCATGGAGGAACAAGATCAAGGCCTGCTTTAACCAAGGAGTCTCCGAGTCAGAGGCTGAGAAACAAGACACTTCAGCAGAGTGAGTGGGGTTCTACGCAGGCTGGAGCAGGGTGGCTTCTTCAGAGTGCAAACCTGGAAGGGCCATTCCCTGAAGATTGTACAGGTGGGATTGTTTAGGAAAGGAGCCCCAGCTGGAAGTTGAAGACTCAGCTTTCTGTTCTGGTTCAGTCCTGTGTTGCTGTGTGTCATAGGCACATCTAACCCTCTCTCTGGGCCTCAGTGTCCTTATCTGTAAGTTGGCTGTTGGCAGGACCAGAGACTGGGAGGATGTATTGGACTGGGTTGTCAGCAGAGCATGGGGATGGGAGGAGGAGAGAACTGAAGACCAACTCCACTGGACCAAGCAGAAGGAGGCCAATCAGAGATGGGTCAACTGCTGGTTTAGCCACTGGAGTGCTTTCTCCCTGGATTCCCACTCAGAGGCTGGGGCTGGGCTGGAGGGTGTCTGCATTCAGTTTTGGGGATGTGAATTTGTGCTGCAGCTAGAGGGAATTGGGCGAGAGAGTGAGGACACACAGGATGAGGAAAACTCAAGGGTTACCTATATGCTGTCGGTTTGAGAGGAGGATGGGTATACAAGGGAAGTTTAAAGAGAAGTGGGACTGTAGACTTTGGGCATCATTCTGTCCAAAGCTGGGTGGCTTGCAGACTTGGGAAGGCCAAGGGGAACTCTGAAAGGTCTGATCCAGGGTCCAGGGTCCTGAAGCCAGCATGGGCATAGGGGGTGGAACTCTAGGGCCTCTCTCCATTGGCTGAGGCACACTCACTCCTCCCTATCCCTCTCTGCCAACTTGGCTGGGTTGAGAGAATGGCATTAGCAGGCACTGCCTGGTGGGTCTCCCCTGGGGAACTGAGGTCTGATGGGAAGGTGGGGCCAAGTTCTGTATCCCCCAGCTGTAGTGACCTCTCTTTGGCTTCACAGTATCTAAAAACCTGAAAGATAAAATATGGCTCAAGCAGGCAGGAAAAAGCGGTAAGTACCCCACTCTATCCATCCCCCTGGCCTGGTGTACCTCAGTGACTTCCCTGCTGCTCCCCCAGATCCTCTGCTTCCCACTTACCCAGTAGCCCACCTACCCCAGAAGAAGGGTCCCTCCCACCTGTCTCTTGTGCCCCATAGCACAGCCAAGCACAGGCTGGACTTTGGGGAGAGGGGAGGCTGCAAAAGACCTGGATGGGGGCCCAGGGTTGGTCAGTGGATTCTGACTGCTCTTGTGGAGGTGGTTAACAGCTGAACTGAACTCACCACCTCCTGGCTTCTCAGGTGCAGCTCTATTTGGGATGAAGCAAGAGCCAAAATCTTTGCACTGGCCAACACTCTGCTTGTCTAGTTCCCTTTACCTCTCTGCCCCCCTGCCCAAAGCCTCACTCTCCCTGCTCCGGCCACACTAACCTCTTTTGCTTTCGCAGACATGCTCAGAGGCCTTCAGCGACTAATCCTTCTGCCTGAGGTGCTCTTCCTGAAGTTATCCATGTGGCTCATTCCTTCACCTCTTCCATGTCTGTTAGAATGTCACCTTCTCCGTGAGGCTTACCCCTACCGCCCTATTTGAAACCATATTCCATGCCCAGCCCCTGCTCTCCCAATTCCCTTTCCCTGCCTTATTTTCCCATAAGACTTCTAAAATTTACATACACTTCCTTTTTCTTTTCTTTCTTTTTTTGGGGTTTGAACTCAGGGCCTTACCTGCTAGGCAGGTGCTCTACCACTTGAGCCACTCTGCCAGTCATTTTTTGTGGTGGGTATTTTTCAGATAGGCTCTCTCAAACTATTTGCCTGGGCTGTCCTTGAACCATGATCTTCATCTTCCTGATTTCTGCCTCTTGAGTAGCTAGGATTAGAGGTGTGAGCCACCAGCACTTGGCTTATCACTTGCTTATTGCATTCCATTGCTGTCAGCTCCATGCGAGCAGAAATATTTGTCTGTTAGTGCCCTCTTGGATGGAGAGACTAAGTGGATTCCCCTCTATACTGTTGACATTGCTGTCTCCAACCTACATCTCCCTCCTGGGTTTTAGATCCTGTTTCCAAAGATCTGCTGGTATCCCATAGGCACCAGATTCCAGTAGAAAACAGCTTCCTCTGTTCTCCCCAAGCCTACTCCTTCTCCTGTGGTCTCAGCTCAGCTAGGGGTTCCCTTCTCCTTAGTTGCTCAAGCCAGAAGTCAAGGCCACATCTTTGATGTTTCCCTCTCCAACATACCTCACATTTAGACTAATCCTAAAATATAGAATGTGTGCACTTCCTTCCATTGTTTCTATCAACACCCTACTTCCCCATGGCTGATGTAACCACCACTTGCCCTCTTCTTCCTCTTTATTCTCCAGACCTCTGTACCTTCCCCAACATGACCGTGGGGCCTGAAATTCACTTCTTCTTCACTTTTCATCTATCTGTTCATCCAACCAAGCATTCATTGAACAAATGTTTGTCAAGTGCCGGGCACTGTAGGAAGCTTTGGGATCTAGTTGAAAGGAAGAAACAGATTCCCCAGTTCTCATTCACTTCCCAATCTTTACCGTACCACTTCTACAGGCCTGGCACTGTGGCACTGAGAATGAACCAGGAAGAAAGACTGAGTACCTCCTTTCATCCCTCCTCTCTTGCTCATCTAGTTATTCACTCACTTACTTACTCACTCAAAAATGTCTCTTTGTGCTGACCTGGTTGCAGAACCTGGTGCATTTTGCTGGCTCCCCTCATCTATGGTAGAGCCTGGTATACATTCCAAGACTCAGTACTGTTTATAGAGGCCGGAATCAGACTTTGCCATATTCCATGCAGTTTGCAGCATGCCTTGTGTTGCCAGGCCCTGGCCTGTGACCACCAGCTCTGGCTTCTGCAGATAGGCAGACAGACAACTGAGCTCTCTCCTACCTTGCTCTCCCCAGTGGCTCCCCATCACTGCACATTGCATTTTCAGCTCCCCAGTTGCCCCCTCTGCATTGGTGCTCCCTTCTTACTTGTCCAGTCCTGGCTGGAAGGAAGAAGAGGCCTGGATGGACCAACTGCTCCAGTTCCTCTCCATGTCCCGTGACATTCAGGAGTTTCCCATCTCAGCTTTCCCAGCTGCTCTGGGCATGAGGAGGTGTACGTGAGAGGCTGCTGGGTTACCCATTAACTCAGCCATGACTTGAACAGCCGATGGGCAATAGGCGGACTTAAGTCTTCTTTCTGTTCATGGGCTCGGGCTGCTACTGCTTCAGGTCTACTCACAACTCCAAGATGGTCTCATCCCTGCTGGCAAGAATACAAGCAATACTGCAGAAGGAGATGGTGCGAGAGTTCCTGGGAGAGTTTATGAGCACCTATGTCATGATGGTGAGTGGGTGGGTGGGGCACAGCAAGGGTAGCCCATGAATCCCTCTGACACATGGGCATGTCATTCCTTCCTCTGCAACTGATGTGGGAGCCTGGGAAAGCAGTAGAGGAAAGTAAAGAGAGAGACCTTTCTTACCAAGTATTTTTGGGGATAGAAAAGGATCATAATATGCCAGGATAGAGTGAAACCATGGGGTGGGGGGCTGGGGGGCATGACTGGAGTGGCGAGAAGGAAAACTGAGGGTAAAAAGATTGATGAAAACCTTGAATATCAGGCTTTGAGAATTAATCCTGCAGACAATGAAGACATTGAAGGATAATAAGCAGGGGAATTGCATGGCTGAATTTGGATTTTAGAAGGCAATTGTATATGCAGTGTGGCACCTAAGCAAGACAAGGAAGGCTGGAGGGAAAAGAGCCAATTAAGAGATTGTTATCTTAGCTGGATGCTGGTGGCTCACATTCTGTAATCCTAGCTACTCAGGAGGCAGAGATCAGGAGGCTCACCGTCGAAGCCAGCCCAGGCAAATAGTTTGCGAGACCCTATTTCAAAAAAAACCCATCACAGAGTGGCTGGAGGTGTAGGCTCTGAGTTCAAACCCCAAAACTGCCAAAAAAAAAAAAAGGGAGACTGTTGTCATGACGTAGGGTAGAGAGAGGATGGTGATGGAGCTGGGGATGTGGAAGAGTTGTAGACAATGGATCAAGGAGACACTGCAAGAAGCAACAGATAGGGGGTAAGCTCTGAGGGGCCATTCTGGAGCATGGGCTCAGCATAGAGCCAGAGGTGAAGTTGGTTTAGACTCAGTCAGATGAAATGCAGGTGGAGCAATCCAGGAGGTAACAAAGTGCTTGGGCTGGAAGAAATAGGGGAAGTTTATTAGAATATGGATGGTGGTTATAAAAATTGTCCAGAGAGAATTTATGTGTGTGGTTTTGTCTCTGAACACTTGGATTCTTATCCTGACCCTGCTACTGAGTCAACAGCAGTGGGCAGGTTTCTCCTTGGCTCCAAACCTGTCACCTAATACTGAAGTATAGAATCCAGACTTCATGGCCTTTGGAGTTGGGTTTGAGTTCCTGCTGTCTTCTAGCTGTGTGATGTTCCACAAGCTTTTTTTTGCAGGGGGAGACTGGGGTTTGTACTCAGGGTTTTTATTTATTTATTTGCTGTAGTGGGGGTTGAACTCAGGGCCTACACCTTGATTCACTCCACCAGCCCTTTTTTGTTATGGATTTTTTTGAGATAGGGTCGCACGAACTCTGCCCAGGCTGGCTTTGAACTTGAGCCTCCTGATCTCTGCCTCCTGAGTAGCTAGGTGAACTTAGGGTTTTGAGTTTGCAAAACATGTATTCTATTTCTTGAGTCACCTCTCCAGTCTATTTGTTTTGGAGATGGGGTCTTGTGAACTATTTGTCAGGTCTGGCCTTGAACCGAGATCCTCCTGATCTCAGTTTACATGTAGCTAGGATTATAGGCGTGGGCCACCAGCACCCAACATCCACAAACATTTTAATGCTTGAGAACCAACACCCTTGCTGGCAAAGGTGAACACTAGCATTGAGCTGACAGACGAGTATGAAGAAGACCAAGTGCTAGCACATGTGATACACAGGTTGGCCTCTTGTCATAGTGACAGGTGCTTTTAGTTATTATTTCCTCCCTTTCTTACCTGATTTGGTTCCTGAGCTGTGAGGATAACAGCCTGATCCTGTCCTTCCTTAATTCAGGACAAAGTAATTCATTTATGACAAGACATTCCAGTCTCATGAGGGCTGTTAAACCTTGGAACCGGGAGGCAGGAGGGAGCTTCCTTGGAGAGCTGTCTGAGGGACATAGCCCTTCATACCTGCCGCATCTGCATTCTTTCTTTTTTTTTTTCAATGCTGGGGATCGAACCCAGGGTCTTGTATGTGCTCTAAATCCCCAGCCCTCCTCCCCTCTCTCCTTTTCCTCCTTTTTTGTGACACAGAAAAGCTTGAACTCAGGGCTTTGTGCTTGCTAGGCAGGCACTCTACCACTTGAGCCACACGTCCAGCCCTTTTTGCTCCGATTAGTTTTGGAGATAGGGTATCACTTTTTTGCAGAGGCCGGCCTGGACCACTATCCTCATATTTTAGGCTTCCCAGTGTGGCTAGAATGATCATGTCCAGCTTCTTTCCATTGAGATGGCGTCTCACAAACTTTTCTTTCCCAGGCTGGCCTGGAACTGTGATCCTCACAATCTCAGCCTCCCAAGTAGGTAGGATTGCAGGCATGAGCCACTCGTGCCTGATTTTTTTTTTTTTTTTGAGCCAGACCTCACTATGTAGCCCAGGTTGGCTTCTAACTCAGTATTTCTCCTGCCTCAGCATCCTAAGTGTTGGAATTACATCTTTGTGCCATCTTACCTGGCTTCCTCTTTTTAAAATTTAGATTACTATTGAGCATCTACTGCGTACTAAGCACTATGATGTTAAAAGCGCCTTACCTGAGGCATCTTCCAAATCCTCACAAAGGCCCTGTGAAGTAGGTACTATTCTCATCCCCATCTCACAGGGAATAAGGTTCATGAGATCAAGTCACTTGTCCAAGGTCATACTTGGGGAAGTCAAGATTAAATCCAGTCTAGTCTAATATCACAGTCTTGACTTTTAACCTCTCTCCTCTGTCCCTTAGCCTGGAGGTGGTGGGCTTTCTAAGACTCTGGTTGTTAATTCTCCCCCAGCTGGTGTAAGGCCCTCATTTTCAGGCTTTAGGTAGTTCAAGACCCTTTTCTGGGCCTCAGTTTCCCCATCTATAGAGTGGGAGCAAAACATATGCTACACAGATTTGCTGTGAGGATTGAAGGAACGTAATGGCTGAAAAAGAACTTTGTGAGTCAGGTATGGTGGTGTACACATGTAATCCCAGCTATTTGAGAGGTGGAGGCAGGAAATTTCCTGAGTTCATTTTCACAAAGTTAGCAAGACTTTATCTTAAAAACAAAATGCAAAACAAAAGGGCTGGGGGTATGGTCCAAATAGTAAGAGGCCCTGGGTTCAATCCCTAGTATAGAAAAAAAAAAAAAGGACAACAATAACAAATCTTTGTAAGGTTTAAGCTTATATAGGACATTGTACTGTTATTTTTAGTTACCCATCCTGTGCCAAGAAGTGGAAGCTTTTTCAAATGATAGGAAGGTCAGTGAATCACCAGGGCAAAGGTTTAGCCAAAAAAAGCTAGTGTGACCTTGGCCCTGTTTATTGCAGAGATGAAGGAAGTGAACTGTTCTACTCTACTGCCTCCAAGGTTGTTGTCCTTGGAGCTGACTTCCTGGCTGTTGAGGGGACTTTGATGGGCTGGGCTACATTTACTGTCCAGGCTGGGAAGGGGCAGGAGCCATCAGGGCCCTGGAAACCCATCTGTACACTTGAGCCGTTGGGTAAGGATTGCAGGTCATATGCTACAGGGGCAGAGTTAACTCAGGGGTAGGGGCTTTGGCTGACTGTGTAGCGTAGAGTGTGTAAGGACGTAGCCACTGCTGTAGCTGACTGGTGCCATGAGGTGGAATCTAGGCCAGTATTACCCTGAGCTGCTCCTTTTTCTAAAGTTTCAGAACTGAAACTTCTGGTCTTCAAAGCCAAGTTATCCAGACTAATTCTGTGTGCTGGTATTGCCAGTTGGCAACCCTGAACAGAGGATCTGTGTGGTCATTCACTTCATTACTTTTAGCAAATAGTTTTGACACGGAGGGAGAATGAAAGTTGGGGCCCTCAGTCTTTACACCTTCCACATCCTGATTCCTGAGCCCCCTGGCCTGACCTTGCCTCGCCCTTACTCTGCCACCATTGATTGGTTCCTGCCCGCTCCTGCTGGATTCTCTCCTGGACCCTGAGCCAGCCCAGCCATATTCCCCTTTACCTATCCTGTCTCCTGCCTCATCCCTCTGATCTAGGCGATTCCACATTTTCTCAGACTTCCCTGAAGCTGCTCTGTACGCTGCCTTTTTTTTTTTTTTTTTCAATCAGTACCTGCTCCACAGAGAAAATCATCAGGTAGCATCTTGTGTCCATTTCCTCACCATTCTGCCCTACCACCTTTTATCTACTTATGCAACCACAAGTCACTCCTCAGCGAGCCTTCCTGGAGGGCCTTCCTACTTCTAACCCAGCCCAGCAATCCCCCAGTCCACTCAGGTATTGAGCTCTGTCCTTTTCTCTTTCCTTTATCTTCATCCTGTCTCTCTCTCAGCCTATAAACATACCAGTCTCTCAACTTAAAACACAATATAGAACAAAAAGAAAAAAAAAGAAGGAAAAAGTCACCATTGTTGGGTTGGGTGGCATGTGCCTATAGTCCCAGCTACTTGGGGGGCTGAGGAAGGATTTGAGGCCAGGCTGGGTATGATAGTGAGACCCAGCATCAAAACAAAATTTTTATTTATTTATTTTGTGGTACTGGGGTTTGAACTCAGGGCCTATACCTTGCACCACTCCACCAGCCCTTTTTTCATGATGGGTTTTTTTTGAGATAGAGTCTTGAGAACTATTTGCCCAGGCTGGCTTTGAATTTTGATCCTCCTGATCTCAGCCTCCTGAGTAGCCAGGATTACAGGCGTGAGCCACTGCTGCCCGGCAGAATAGCACTTACAAGAACACAAAGACGTGAGAAAGTAAGGCATGCAGGAGGCAAGGTTCGGCTTAAGGCCATCTGGTATTCAGTCCTGGCTCATCAGGTTGCATGCTGTGTGACCTTGAATAAGCCAGTTTCTCTAAACTTCGGGTTACCCATCTGTCAAATGGGAGAATAATAGTACGTCCTTCAGATATACTATCAGAAAATTCCTTCAGGCCAACCTGTAGTATGAGATGCTCTGAGGGGTGCAATCCACCCCAGACACCTGCTCCCACTCCAAACTTCAGGTGGGCTTAGGACCAAGATGCCTGGGTATGTCAGAAGAGCCTATGATTCTGTCAGGCTATCACTGAACCCACCACCCAGCTGTCCCTGGTTCAGGCTGAGAGGCATTGATGCAGGGATGAGAGAGAGAGTGCTCTGGTGATCAAGGGCATTGTAGAGGGGCTCTAAAGGCAACACTGGGGAGGCTGAGGGCATGGGAGAGTGGCGAGGACCTAGAACTGAGCTCTGAGCTCTTTTCTGAGGTTGGGGCTGCTGGGCAGGCAGACCCCCTCAAAAGTCCTCCCTCACAGGTACTTGGCCTTGGTTCTGTGGCACATATGGTTCTAGGAGATACAAAACTTGGAAGCTACCTCGGTGTCAACTTGGGTTTTGGCTTTGGAGTCACCATGGGAGTGCACATGGCAGGCAACATCTCTGGTGAGTGATCCCAGATCTCACCTGACTGGGCTTAGCTAGGCCCTCCTGACACAGGCTGTTTCCTGCTCGATTCCAGCTAGTCCCTTTTCTGACACAGCAGGTGCCTCACTAGTGCCTTGCTGACTACCTTGAGGAAGGAGAATGCCTCTGAACCCCCTGTCTTTGCCTGTGTCTTCCCAAGACTCTTCATGGGTCCTTTCAGCCATCATGTTTACTAGCTGCGTCATCTTAGAAAATCATTCACCTTCTTCTGTTCCTCACCTTCCTTAATGGTAAATTGCAGATGGTGGTCCCTGAAGTCATTGTAAGGGGTTTAAATGAGAGTTTTTGTCACAGAAAACATACTCTACAAACACTAGCTGTTATTATTTACTATTGTTGCTGCTCTCAGTATTATTCATTTTGCTGTTCCTGTTTTTGCTCTCCCACTACACCTTTCCCTCCCCACATGAATGCAGGGGCCCATATGAATGCAGCTGTGACCTTCACCAGCTGTGCACTAGGTCGTATGCCCTGGAAGAAGTTTCCTGCATATGTGCTGGGTCAGTTCCTGGGCTCCTTCTTGGCTGCAGCCACCACCTACATGCTCTTCTACAGTGAGTATTTTCCTCTGTGTTATCTGCCTCCAGCCTCAGTCTCTTCCTCTGAAATATGGGCAGATCAAATCTTGGTGTCTTGGTCTGTAAAAACATGTAAGAGAGAAAATCCTTGGAGGCACTCCTTGGAGGAACTCCTAAACCTCTACACTATATCCTCCCTTTTGGGACTCCATCGGGGTTTAGCACGATCTTTATTTCCACAGCGGCCATCGAGCACTTCGCAGATGGAGAGCTGATGGTAACTGGTCCAAAAGCCACTGCAGGCATTTTTGCCACCTACCTTCCTAACCACATGACATTGTGGCGGGGCTTCCTGGATGAGGTCAGTAGTCCAGGGTGGATCTCCTTTCCCAAGCCTCCTCATGATAAAGAAGATAAGAATATTCTGGATAGAGTGAACCAAGACATGTCTCTGCTAGTGCATTTGGATTTGGAGTCCTGTGGCTTGACCAAGGTTTCCAATGGGTTACCAAGAAATCTGTTCCCCCCAGGTGTTCCTAACAGGGATTCTCCAGCTGTGTCTCTTTGCCATCACGGACAAGAACAACAACCCAGCACTGCAAGGGACAGAGGCCCTGGTGATTGGCATCCTCATTTGTGTCATTGGGATATCCCTAGGCATGAACTCAGGATATGCTATCAACCCATCCCGGGACCTCCCTCCCCGCTTCTTCACCTTCATTGCTGGCTGGGGTGAACAGGTGTTCAGGTACTGCCCTTGGCAGGTCCCACTCCTGCGAGCTTTGTGGGGGTGCTGTGCATGCAGATGGGGTGGGGGTGATGTGAGGAGCAGCACGGGAGAGTCCTGTGGAGCCTTCAGTGGCCCAGGAAGCAGGAGTAGGTTCTGAGGTTTCCCCAGACTGGAGTGGATGTAGATCCTGTTCTGGGACTGTGTGTCAACTCTATCCCGGAATCAGGCTGAGGCTGACCAGGGCACCAGGTGAAAATGTTCCCCTGGGATAGACGGGGGTGGTTTCTCTGTTTACACTATCTTGGTCTAAGGTGGATGAGAGTCCATCCTAGGCATCGTCCTCCTCAGCAGGCCTCCACCTCTTTCCTGCAGTGCCGGGGACAACTGGTGGTGGGTGCCATTGGTGGCACCACCCCTGGGTGCTTACCTAGGTGGCATCATATATTTGGTCTTCATTGGCTCCAGCATCCCACAGGAGCCTCGGAGATTGGAGAACTCCGTGACACAGGAAGACCGCAGGACAACCGTAGTGCCCAAAACTGTCTCATACAAGTCTTCTATCACCCCTGCCTACCCAGTTTTAGTCCAGCCTGCCCCACCCTTATGTGACTCCATACTTCTAGAGCGCTTCTAAGTAGAGATTATTTGTGATTCCCCCAACACTACCCCAATAAAGAAAGCCTTGTCCCACAGCATCCCTCACTTCCTGGGGTCCTCCTGTGGTTGGACTTCCCTCCTGGGTTCTTTTGGACACTCTAGGATTATTCTTCCAGGTCTTTCTTAGCAGGGTGGGGCAGGAAGAGATGGAGGAGAGAAAACCTGATGCCAGGCAGAATACTGGACTTTCAGGCATAGGGGAGGGAATGCGTGATTAGAGGGAAGGACCCACAGCTATGGTAGTGGTGGTAGGTGTCAGCTTTGGTGATACCTTGAGGATGACCTGGGTTAAGGCTCTAGATTCCCCTGGGTCCTCCCCTCCTCCAGCTCTAGACAGTTCTTGCACTAGAGTGGGCTAGACCCAGGAATTTAGATCAGAATTTCTCAACCTTTTTTTCATTAGTGCCTCCTCAGCAGCCTTTTTTCTTAATTACACATATTAAAGCTACATGTGTACTATATATTTGTTTATGTACTATATCTGTGCTTTATACATAAGAGATTAAGACTTTTTCCACACCTAAATCAATTTTCATCCCCTTGGGGAGGTTTGGTTTGGAACAACAGCTTTTAGAGTTGGGAAAGAAGATGCAAAGAGGAAAATCCTTCAAATAGATGAAGAGAAAAGAAAAGGCCTCACGGGACTCAAAGGGGACAAGCTCAGGGATGGGTGGCAGTTAAGCCCAGCAGGATCATCCTGCTTTCCGGGACTCAGAAGAGAGTATCACCTATCCTGTCTGTTCCTGTAATCACTTATAATTTAGCCTTTCTGAGCACCTATTGTGTGCAGGCTCTGCATCATAGACGAGGCTGAGTCTCTGCCTTTGAGGAATGCAGTCTGATGGAGGATAGTTACTCATGAGGAGGAGTGAAGTGGTGGAAAGTGGGCTACTTGGAGGCTGTGAGGCCCCAACAGAGGGGCCTCCTGGGGTTGAGGCTAGGGATGGCTTCCCTGAGGAGAAGGCAGAGTAGAGTGAAGGTGAAAGGTGTCCTTTCTGAGGCTGACAGCCACACTTTAAAGTTTGAGAGGATAGAGGCAGAGGATGCTGGGCTTTCTTCTGGAGGTGGATCAGGTGAGATGATTTAGAAAGCACAAATGAGAGCTGGGCATTGGTGTCTCACGCCTGTAATCCTAGCTTCTCAGGAGGCAGACATCAGGAGGATCATGGTTTGAAGCCAGCCCAGGCAGAGTTCAGCGAGAGACCCTACCTCAAAAAACCCTTTACAAAAATAGGGCTGATAGAGTAGCTCAAGGTGAAGGCCCTGAGTTCAAGCCCCATACCGGAAAAAAAAAAAAAGAAAGCACATGTGAGCAGGATGCTAGAAATGGGGAGATGGGCTTACAGAGAATGTAAAGAGAAGCAATAATCCAGAAGGAGCAGCAGTGCTGTGGGGTAGAACACAGAGATGGAATTTGACCAATACCTAGGAGATACACCTGGCAGAACTTGGGCTTGGTTTGGATGAAGCAATGGATGAGAATGAGGGAGAGGGAGAGGAAATGAGAGAAGTCAGGGTTGGATGTCCAGTTTCTGGCTTGGGCATGGGGGCTAGGGATCCCCAATGAGAGTAGAGCATGAGTGAGGAACTGGCTTTAAAAAATTTTTTTTTTGTAGTACTGGGGTTTGAATGCAAGGCCTCATGATTGCTAGGCAGGTGCTTTTACGACTTGAGCCATGCCCCCAGCCCTTTTCTTGTTTTATTTATTTTTTTCGAGATAGGGTCTCAGCAAACTATTTCCCCGGGCTGGTTTCAAACTTTGATTCTCCTGATGTTTGCCTCCCGAGTAGCAAGGATTACAGGCATGAGCCATCAGTGCCTGGCTAAAGGAATAATTTTTTCTGGGGGGGGACTGGGGCTTGTGCTTTAAAGCAGGCACTCTATCGCCTGAGCCACACCTCCAGTCAGGAACTGGTTTGGAGAAGAAGATAAGTTATATTACAGACATGTTCAGTTTGAGTTGCCTACCATCTTGGATAAGTCAATCTCTCTGGGCCAGGGTCTTCTCTTTTGTAAAATGGGGATAAGAATATCATCTACTAGCCAGATGCTGGTGGCTCACATCTGTTATCCTAACTACTTGGGATGCTGAGATTGGGAGGATCAAGGTTTGAGGCCAGTCCAGAGAAATAGTTTTTAAGAACCAATTTTAAAAATCCCAATGCAAAAAAGGACTGGTAGAGTGGCTCAAGTGGTAGAGCACCTGCCTAGCAAGGATGAGGCCCTGAGTTCAAACCTCAATCCTGGAAAAAAAAAATCATCTTCCATTTGTAGTGCTGTGAATGTTAAATATACTAAAACACCTAAAAAGCTGAAAATTGTGGCTGGCCAAGAGTAAGTGCTCAATAAGTCTTGCAGTTAAGCCTTTTGTATGGTCTAGAGCTCAGAGAACTGAAGACAGAGATATGGAAGTCATGGCTTTGTGGATGTAGCTGGGATGTGGAAGAGCGAAAGGAGGGTCAGAGAGCAGGGTGCAAGGTGGGTGATCAGGAGGCAATGGAAACCCAACTGTCCATTGAGGGTAATAGATATGCACATTTGTGTTCAATTGCACATAAAAGAATATTTTACAACACAGAAAAATTAAGGCATAACAGGTACCTGTAACAACATGGAAAAAATTTGGAGGAGTAGAAAGCAATACAGTAGACTATATACAATATGATTCCAGTTTTACAGATGAAAAATTAGCAAAAACCATCATATTCTTTGAGCATATGTATGTATATATCTAGAAACCTTGCCTGCTGTTTCTCTGTCACCAACTTGCACTAGGCTTATTGTCTAACATTTTGCAGGTTCTGGTCCCTGCAGGCTCAGCTGGGCCCTGACCTCAGTCACAGAGCAAGCCTTTCCATTCTCTCAGCAGACATTGGTTGAGAACCTGCAATGTGGCAGACACCATTCTAGTGTTGAGAATATAAGAGCAAAATATATGGTGTGTTAGTGGTGTTAAGAAGGAAAAATGGGAAGGGGAGATGGGAAGTGGAGGGAGCTGTGAAGAGCAGAAGGCCTTGCTGAGAAGGTGACAGGAAAGGCGTGGGGGGGCAGTGTGAGGGATTTTTGAGAGACGAGCATGCCAGGTTGAAGACCAGCCAGTGCAAAGCCTATGAGGTGGTGAATGGTCATGTGGCTCCAAGTGGTAGAGCTCCTACCTAGAAAGTGCAAGGTCCTGAGTTCAAACCCCAGTACTGCTGCAAAACAAAACAAAACCCTGAAAGGGCCAAAGGGCCATTGTGCTGGAATGGAGAAAGGAAGGGGGTGGGGTGGGTGACATAGTCCCTGTGGGATCTTACTACTGGCTACACATACACACACACTCTCTCTCTCTCTCTCTCTCTCTCCAATTCCCTACCCTCAGATTGACAATGTGACCTGAACAGTATCCATCTCCTCTCTGGGCTTTGGTTTCCCATCTACACAATGAGACTTGGATTTGTTGGTGTGTGTGTGTGTGCAGGAGGCTCATGTGTGTGTGTGTATGCAGGAGGCTCTGGGCTTTGGTTTCCCATCTACACAATGAGACTTGGATTTGTTGGTGTGTGTGTGCAGGAGGCTCTGGGCTTTGGTTTCCCATCTACACAATGAGACTTGGATTTGTTGGTGTGTGTGTGTGTGTGTGTGTGTGTGTGTGTGTGTGTGTGTGTGTGTGTGTGTGTGTGCGTGTGCAGGAGGCTCTGGGCTTTGGTTTCCCATCTACACAAATAGACTTGGATTTGTTGGTGTGTGTGTGGTGTGTAAGGAGGTCTCACAGCTGCACTTTCTCAGTCCACTTTTGAGCCAACTCTTTCAAATCTGCCTCCTCTCCAGCCAGGCTGTAGTTTGAGATGAGGATAAGGATGGACAGGGTACAAGGCCTTTGGCAGATTAAAAGTTTGTTTTTCAGCCTGGTGGGCAGTGTTTTGAAGAAGAGTCCTTAATTCCCTTCCTCCCAATTTACTTCCCTCAGACTTCCAAAGACACTGGAAGACTCTGGTTGGGCTGGTCCCTACTGTCCCAGTCAGATAGTCCCCTCTCACAATTCTTAAGGAAAGAGGTGGGAGCAGCCACCTCAAGTTCAATCCTAGTAACTTGATACCCTCAGTATGAGAGGCCTACAGTCAACTTGCAAGCTTTGGTAGTGGAACCTTGGCTCCATACCCAATTTTTGAAACTGACTGTAGAGAGGGAACAGTGGTTTTAGAGTGTGTGCAGGCATCCCATGTGCAGAAGGCTCATACTGCTCCAACTTACAAAGCAAATAATGAAGTCAGCTCAACCTGGACTCCAATACCTGCGGTGTCACTCATTAGTGTATGACCTGAGATGAGACATGGTTTAAGAAGCTGTGTGAAGGACAGGTTTATATCTGTTACGTGGAGTGATTAATGCAACCTTTTTTATGAAATAACAGCATATTGGTTCCTTCCTGTCACCTCCACCTTATTGTACAAGGAACTGAAAGTTAGGGAGCTTGGGCTCTGTCAGGGTAGTGAGTAGGAATTCTAAGCCCCTATTGTGGATGTGCTCTGAAGCCTGGCCTAGAATAAGGCACCCAAGAAACCTTTGGGCTACTTTTGGTTTTTAAAATGTGGAGTGATACCATGTAACCAGTGTAAATTTAAGGATATAGGTACAAGTTAACAATAACAAAGACAAGTCTGTAAAAAAACAAAACAGCCAGGTGCAGTGGTACCTTTTATCCTAGGTACTCAGGAGGCTGAGGCAAGAGGATTGTTTGAGCCAGGAGTTTGAGGCCAGCTAGGGCAACATAGGGTAACTCTGTTTTACAACAAAGCAACAACAAAATCCCGAAATCTAAAAAACTAAACAAGTGTCTACTCACTGAACTCTGGGCAGGCTACTTAATCTCTTTGGGCTTCAGTTTCCTCTCCTGTAAACAAACAAGAATGAAGCTCACAGGAAGTGAGGTGCTTCAGGTTTAATTTTGCCATTAGCATTCCTTGTGATGGAGCAAAGCTGGATGGAGTGTGCAAGAGCTAATGGTCTTGAGATCCTTGTCTCTGTGATTGGAGCCATGATGGAGGTGTAGGGGGTTCTGGAGAGGATGTTCTAGGCCTACAGGGAGGCCTGGGCAAGTGGAGGCTGGATCAGGAACTGAGGGAGAAGATGGTCTAGATCCAGGTACACTCAGACACACAGATGAGGCCATAAATCTTGAACTGAGTGTTTGAGACTTCAAACCCTCATTGCCCAACGAGGATGATTACTAAAATGGGATTGTAACAGGCCTGAAACAGCCCTGCCAGGGTCAGCAAGAATGTGTTTATGGGTCTGGGGATGTAGCTCAGTGGGACAGCATTTGTATAGCATGTATAAGACTCTGCTTTGGGAAATGGTCTCTAAACTGAAGAGAACACCCACAGAGTGGGAGAAAATATTTGCCAACTATACATCAGACAAAGGACTGATAACCAGAATATACAGGGAACTTAAAAAA